CTAAAAGTGAGTTACCACTTGACCCAGCAATCCCACCACTGGGTATATAACCAAAGGAGCACAGATAACTCTACCAAAAAGGCACCTGCACACACGTTGATCGCAGCACTATCCACAATAACAAAAACATGGAACCAACCTAGGTGACCATCAGTGGTGGCCTGCATAAGGAAAATGTGGTACATATATACCATGGAATACTACACAGTTGTGGAAAAAAAGAACAAAATCATGTCCTTTGCAGCAACATGGATGCAATTAGAGACCATCATCCTAAGCACCGAGCACATTATTGGAGAAACAGAAAACTGAACACCATGTGTTCTCCCTAGTAAGTGGGAGCTAAACATTGTATGTACTTGGGCACAAGGATGAGAACAACAGACACTGGGATACTCCTAAAGGGAGAGAACAGGAGGGGGGTAAAGGCTAAAAACTACCCGCTGGGTACCACGTCCACCACCTGGGGGGCAGGCTCGATAGAAACCCAAGTCGCTGCATATTTCTTCAGCATAACACAATATTCCTACCTAACAAGCCTGCACATGTAGCCCTTGAATCAAAACAGAAAACTTTGTTTAAACTATTTCCTTCTGCTAGGACTTTAGTGTGAGAGATTGAGTCAATCTAGTCAGGAGCTTAGCTGTGTTTGAGTTTTGTTCTTGCCATGTTGCTGTCAGCAAACAGCTGGATCCAAGTTTCTCTAATATTACCTTATGCTTATGGTTGAGGCTGGTTTTCCAGAGGTTTTCTCAATGTCTGCTCTGCTCTCAGCTTTACATGTTCCCCTTGTGCTTGGGCCTCAGAAAATGTCTTCTTTCATGGTCTCGATGCTATTTTAGAAGTAGATTGCGTCCTCCTATTGGGAATATACCCAGAGGAACTCAAATCCTTCTGCAAAAAAAGATAGCTGCACATGCAGGTTTGTTGCAGCTCTATTCACAATAGCAAAAACATGGAACCAACCATGCTGCCCATCAAAGCTGGACTGGATTAAAAAAATATGGTACATATACACAATAGTATATTATGCAGTCATAAAGAAGGACAAGCATATGGACTTCACAGCAACTTGGATGGATTTAGAGTCTATCATACTCAGTGATCTATCATATGTTCTCACTCATAAGTGGACCTTGAACAATTATCATAATACTAAAGGAAAGGGATTAGCAGTAGTGGGAAACTGCCAGGGGAGGGAGGGTAGGATTGGCAGTTGAGGGAAACTGCCAAGGGATGGAGGGACACACCTCATCAACAAGGGTACTTGCATAATGAACATTTGTATACCTAACCCTGAATTGTACCCCACATCTTTAAAATAAAAGAAAAAAGAAGAAGAAGAAGATTGTGGTTTCTTGTTATAAGATGCTTAGTCTGGGTGGTGAGGGGTTGTATGGGTGGGTGGGTGATCTCTGTCTCTCTGATTCTCTCTCTGATTCAGTATCAGTTTTAGATAAGCACTGTGCCCCTGGGTCTCAGGGATAGGGCCTTTTCCATGGTCCTCCCCCAGCCCCAGCTGGAAAATTTCTAATAGTGTGGGGTCCACAAGGGTGGAGGGTTTTTGGTGTTTTCCATTTTTCCAGCTGTGATGGGTCATCATCAATACATGCTTTACTGCCCTTCATTCAGTAGCCTAAGGCTTTTGCTTCTATAGAGAAGAGAAAGGAGAAGGGTCTGGGAGACCCTTTCCCTGCAGCAGTTGCTTTTCTTTTCCCCCAGACCTGTGCCAGAAGGGAGATTTTTCTCAGGACTTTCGTGTTGCCCACCCCCCACCCCCACCCCCCGGCTTTCTTGTGAACACACATTAAGGTTCGTGGAGATGCGCCTGCAAATGAGTGTGAATTCCCCTTGTACTTGTGAGTCTCAGAGTTTCTGTATTCTCATGCTGGCCTACACTTGGCCTTTGGCAATTCACTAAAATTTGAATTTGAATTTTTACCAGCTTGTTGGGGGGGGGGAGGGAGGAGTCAGCTCCAAATAAGCAAGTGCATCTCCTTGGGGATGTCATTACTAAGTTGCCCTAGAACCTCAGCCTGCTGATAAATTCAAAAAATGTTGTGAATTTCCAGAATATCTTGTGATTTCTTTTTTGTGTGATTTGTTGTAAAAAGTAATGCTATTTTCTACTTTCCTTTGCCCTAAGAAGAATCCAGAAGCCCCTGAAAAACCCTATTTTGTAGCTGAATCTGTTTCGTGTACTTGAATGCAAATCTTAACTAATACAGGTTCTAATTTCACTCATTACTCAAAAATAAATTCTAAATGGACAAAGGTATAAACATAAAAAAATGAAACGATGAATACCTGAAGAATTAAGGAGAACTTTTTATAACTTTAGGTATAAAAAGTTTAACCTTATGTATGACAAGAACTTATCATAAACATCAAATAAACTGAGGAAAAATATTTGCAATACATATGCAGAGCTAATTTCTTAATTAAGAAATGCACTTATAAATCAATAAGTGACTTTTGCCCAATAGTCAATTATTGGGTAAAGGATAAGAACAGATATTTCACAGAAAAGGAAATAAACATACCAAAAGATGACTAACCTACCTTAAAACAAAGTTATAAATATATAAAATATAATTTTTCACTTCTCAGATTAACAAAGATTAAAAATTTGATAACATTTGATAACAAGTCAACAAGCATGGGAATAGAGGCCCTCTTACACAGTTTTGATGAGAGTGCAAATCTGTACAATTGATGGGCAATTAGGCTATATCAATATTTAAAATGTACATACCCTTTGATCCATTAATTCAGTTGTCTTACATATATACTCATAACTGTGTATAAGGACTTACACACATGAGATTCATGTCAGCATTATTGGGTAGAACAAAAAACTTTAACAGCCGGGCTCGGTGGCTCAGCCTGTAATCCCGCACCTTTGGGAGGCTGAGGTGAGTGGATTGCCTGAGCCTGCGGGCATAATTGCCTGAGCCTGAGGGTTCGAGACCCACCTGGGCATCTTGGTGAGACCTCGTCTCTACAATAAATCAAAAAATTAGCCGGGCGTGGTAGCGTACGCCTGTAGTTCCAGCTCCTTGGAAGGCTGAGGCGGAAGGATCGCCGGAGCCCAGCAGGTCGAGGCTGCGGTGGCCGGGAGCAGCCACTGTACTCCAGTCTGGGCGACAGAGTGAGATTCTAACTCAAATAAAAAAAAAAAACTTTAACAAAATATCCGTGCATGTGGGATTGAAAATAAGTTATGTTGTAGTTCTACTAAAGAAAATGGTATAAACATTACATAAAATTATATACAGGAGATATACGCATTTTAAGTAAAATAAGAAAACAAAAGATAGTATCTAGCATGTTTCCATTTATGAAGAGAAATACATCAAGTTATTTATGCTTCCTATGCTAAATTAATTCTGAAAGATACATGAGGAAGAAAAATAGGAGAGCCAAAGGTGGGAAAGAGGCAATTATATACCTTCTGCTGTCTTTTGAGTTTTGTGCTATGTATGTTTACTTTTAAAAAATAAAAGTAATCTTAGGGATTTAAATAAAATAAATGCAAAGACCTTCCCTTCATCGAGAATCCTCATCCCTCTTCCTCCCAGCTTTCCCCACAATTGTTCTCCAACCCACCCATTTGTACCTCTGCATTTCTGCTTTTCTTACTGCCAAATGAACACCATGGCCCATTCCCTACATTCTGCATTTGTTGGGAAGTTTTTCTCCCACCTGACATGGTTCTTCCCCACCCTCCCCCTCCCACAGCCTGTACTTTTAAACCCAACTTCAACTGCTCATGAACCCTCTCTGATGACCATGATCCTCATTGTAATTTCTCTCCTTTTAATTGGAATATTTGTGATTAGAGCCTCACCAATGAGCATATAAATCTATTTGTAAATTGTTGGCTTCAAAGGTGAAAGTTAGTCTTACCTTGAATTTAGACATGTGAGTATCTTGAGAGCAGAAAGACAACATGTTTCAAATATTTTTGTTCCCTTGACACTACCCAGCTCAGAGCCGAGCACATACAGAGTGCTCATTACATCTGCTGGATGGACTGGTTGCTGAGGAAGGACCAAGTAGATTCTTCAGAGATTTTGAGCCCAGAGAGGTTTTTGGCTTGAGACCTCTGTCACCAGGTAAGACTCAGGAAATTAATAAATACAGTGGTATTGGAGATATATCACAATATCCACAAAGGTCAATTATGTAATACAAATGTCTAAATTAACACTCTGGGTATAGGAGTGATTAGTTCTGGAGCTGAATGGAAAAACACTTGCCCTTCCTAAAATTTTCCAAAATCCAAATTTGAGGAAAAACCAAACAAAACTCCTCAAACATCAGCATACACCCAACCATGAGCAGCAACTAGTCTGTGACCCATAGTCAGAAGTGGCCACTAATTCATCTCTACAGGCAGTCATCCTCCAGAGCATGAATATGCATCCATGGAAGACAGTGTTAACAATTTCTTCCCACCAACACAGACTGGAAGTTTCCCTTCCTTCCTCCATCAATGGCATTTAAAGATACTGCTACTCTGGGCTTTCCCTGCTACATCAACCATGGTCCCCTTCCCACACTTCTGATTTCTGATTGCCCATTGCCTGAAGCATCAAAATTCTCCATGCGTGTTTCTCAAGTATATTTCCAGAACAAATGAGAGAGTTGGCGGAGATTCCTCTGCCCCAACCACCCTGTCTCATAAGGTTCCCTGTGTGCCAGAGTACTCCGTTTTCTGAGGATGGGGAAATCACACAGTTGTGAAGGAGAGAACCAAACCATCAGGCTGGTGTAGGGGATGGAGAGTAAAGACAGGCCAGCAAATAGACATAGCCTGTAAGCATGGTAGCTTTAGTTCCAGGCTCTGTAGCCTTTACAGATAACCAGACACCCTCATCTACACACATGAGATCTACTGAATCACCACATGAGCTTCCTTACTACACACGCCTTACGAAACAGGAGGGCTCTGTGATGCAATCTGATGGCCTGGTTCCATCCTCTGTGAGGCAGACATGACAAGGCCTAGCACTGGGGAGTCATTAGGCACCAGGATGCTGAATGACTAGATATAGGAATGACTAGTCTCCTCATGCTTATGAGGGTTAGACCATGTTGAGCCCTATTTTTGTTCTGTGGGATGTTGGATATCCCTTATATACCTATGGCTCCATCTTCATCATTATTCTAATTATCTGGCAAGTGAAGAGGAGTCACCATGAATTGAAGTTGGAACCTAGAAAGAGCTGCTGCTGGGTAGGGATGCACTATAACCACAATGAATTAATTCAAACTCAGATCAGAAGGTTTCAAGCTCCAGGGTCCTTCCTGATGATACCACTGCCCGTCCCCGCCAATATTTATTCCATACTTTTAATTGAGTTTATACAGCCTTCTTCTCAGAGCCTAGAAGTAATTCCTTAAAAGAACTTCCTTGATGCATATTCTAATTGAAAAGCCAAGAACCTCTCTATTTACTTGAATAGAGACCTATATGATATGGATTCCACCTCACTGGATAGCAAAAGATCTTACAGTATGGGGGATCTGGTTGGTGGTGTTTTAATGCACTAGTAAGCTGAATTCTTTGACTATTAGAACCAGATACTCTTCAATCTGTACTCTTCTTTCTTTTATTTCATCCCTGGTCTCCAGCAGGACTTCTTCTCTGGGAATTTGATGGGAGGTATAAAGTTTGGAGAAGCTTCAAAGTGAATCACGAAAAAGCAGAGAAGGAAAATGGTGGGGTGAAAAAAGGTGGAGTATAGACAAAGAGAATGTAGGAGGGTATATAAAATACAAACAGATATATAGAGAGGGAATGGGAAATGTCTATGAGTTTTGTATCATTTTGGACATGAAAAAGAGAAAGGTGTCCCAACTTCACATTCTAACGTTTTTGTCTTTAAGCGTCACCGAAAAGTCAAGCAAAGGGCTAGAGATGCAGGATCAAGAGGTAAAGTTCCTATCACCCCTCTAATTCCCTTCTAATGTGACAAGTTTCCCATGAATACTATCCCTCTATGACCCTCATCCCAAGAGCCAGGTCCTCTGACACTAAAGTCTCCAATTTCCAGGACTGACAACTTTCTCAGAAGATGTCCATGGGTAGAAAAATCAGAACTTGGTAGTATTCCAAAATTCTCTACATTTCTCCCATGGAAATAAAAAATTCGGGACATAGGCCAGATGTTCCTAATGGTGTCATTTACTAATTCTACAACCCTGTAGAAGTCACTTCATCTCTCAATTCTGTTTGCCATAAAATGGGCATCTGATGATCTTCTCTCACTCACAATATGGTTGTGAAGGTTCAAGGAGAATGGGTGCAGGACAACAAGTCATGAATGATTATATTATACCCAGAGGGGCCTTAGAGCATTGACAGTTGGGGTTTTCAGGGTCCTCTTGCTGAAGGTCACAGACCACCAACTTTCTATAGATACCCTGTAATTGCTCCCATGCACATAACACTGTCTCCTGGTTCCTCAGCTAGAAGACTATCCCAGGAAGAAGCTGAGAAGCCACGGAAGCTGTACTCTAACATGAAAAGGTAATCTCTTGCTCTTTGCAGTCTCCCATACCAGCCTGGCCTGTGGTGATTTGTTGGTTTGACCTGAGGCAGGGATGAAGAGAGAGAATGGCTGGGAGAGAGACATACAGTAAAGGCCAATTTACTAGTTGAGAGGGTTTCCAGGACAAAAGGGGGTCCAGACACCTCAGAAGGGAAGAGTCACCCAATTCTGTACTGGGTTAGGATCACAGTAGTTCTGGAATTCAGGATTTATACTAGTGCATATTTCATGAAAGATTCTGCATGGGGTAACACTCAGCCATGAGATAAGTTATCCAGTCAAGAGAATGGGTTTTGCATGAAGAAGTCATCATTGTCTTAATCTCTTTACTGCTGTACCCTTTAATGAGAAGATACTGCTGACCAAGCTGGACCCTGGTAATATTACTTCCTCTGGTCCTGTCTTCAGGAGCCCAGTTGGTGGGACAACCCTTAGACAGAAGCCTATTATCTTGTCCTCTTAAGATTGCCAGATTACAGGATTGATTCCCAAGAGACATTGGGTGCAGCAGCAGGGACATCCAATAGTCCTCAGAATGCAAGGGTTCCACAAAAACCTCATTCTCCACAATTTGAATGTACTGAATACAAGGCTTTGGGTGTCCTAGCCTCAAATGAGACTGAGCCAGGTTCAACTTGGTCATGTTCCTGGCGATGCCTTATCAGCTGACCACATGGCTTCCCATCTGCTTAGTTCCTTTCTCTCAGTTCAGCTTCTCAACAAAGTCAACGGAGAACAGGCCCCAGCTCCCAGTCCTCTCTGTGGGTTGCCTAAGACCTTGCCCATTAAGCCCCAGATCCTCGGCCCAGCTCACCATCCCAGGCAAATGGTATTTTCTAAGAAAGTAGAGTGGTAGACATCAATGGGTGTAGGTCCTCGGACTTGCAGGACTAAGGAAGGGAAGTGCCCGCCCAGACCACTCTCCTCCAAGAAGGCATGACACTCCATCGTTAACGTTGCCATGTTTCCCTTCCCAGCCAGGGCTGGCTTCCTCAGGAGGCAGGTGTGCGGCGGCTCCTATGTGCGGATCCCTGCTGCCAAATCTGCAACGATGTGGCTCTGGAGATTCAGCAATTGCTGGCGGGTGAGAACAACCAGACCTCCCCAAACAGCCAGACCTCCCCCACTCTATCGGAGCCATCGCAGGGCTCTTCTCACCTGGATATTTTGTCTGTATCTAGCATATCTTTTGAGCAAAGTCTGGAACTTCATTCTCAGCACACCAGAGAGCTTTCACTGGCATCCGACACCCCAACACTGTCACAATTAATGGATCAGAAAACTTCAACCCACTCTGCTGCCCCGTTCACTAGTTCAATCAGGGTCCAAGATTACTGGGTTGATCACCTGAACCTAGGGCAGGGATTTCAAATGCCAGATGTGCCCAGGGGTCCAGACAGTATGACTTCTTCAAGTTTTGAGGAGCCTACAGGTCAAGTGAACCAGCAGGACATGATTCAGAGCAATCCCAACCATGTACAGGGGAACCAAGACCCACATCACTTAGAGCCCCAGGTCTCTCTGCGGCCCTTGAACCCAGAAATCACAACCCTGACACATCCAGTGGCCTCGGATATGGCCTCAGTACTCCCTGCCAATATGCCATTCCTCAGTCCTAATGTACTGAGGTTTCTTGAGGTACATGTAAAAAAATGGATACATTTCCAGAGGTGGGGGCTCCCCAGACGTGTGGAGGAGTCCTTGAGGCAGCTTATGCCAAACCCACCATTGCATTACCAGCCTGGAAATAACCAACCAGTTTCTTATATCCTGAACAATACTTCTCAGGTATCTGTTCATAGACTTGAAACCATTTCCCACCAGACCTGGTGTTCATGTATGGCTGGTCAGCCCATCCAGACCTTCTGGGTTTCTGAATGGTCCACTATGAACCCCAAACAAAGACACCACTGTCAGAAAATCCCAGACCCAATGGCCCTAGCCTCACACTCACCAGCCCTTAAAGCCCTAAGTGGCCTCTATCCACCACCTGGGGGACAGGCTAGTGACTTAGACAGCTATCTGCACCAGAGATACAGCCAGCTATTCTGTGGCCTCCCTTCTCTGCACAGTGAGTCCCTGGTTGCCACTTTCTTGGCCTCTCAAGCCCTCTCCAAGAATGAAAATTTGTCCAAGCTCCCCTTGAAAGATCCTATTCTCTTGAAGGATCTCTCCTTCCTCCCCCTGCTGCCTAAAACACCACCCCAGTCAACCCCGCCCTCTTCTCCACCTTCCCCAAATTGGGTGACTCCATCTGATCATCAACAAGCTCATATCCAGAATCATGTCCCATTTCTGACTCTGGCTGAGTGTGAAGCCTTGGAGTGTCACCTACTACAGAGGCAGTTACAGCTTCAGTGGGGCATGCCAGCTGTCTTCCAGAGATCTCAGCATGCCCAGAGCCCCATGCAATATGAACCCTGTGGCAAAACCCATTCTCCTGAGACTATGACAACTTCCTGGCCAGGGAAGCCTGTCTCAGTCCTCAACAGTGAACTACTCTTCTTCCCGGAGTATGCCCAGAAGAGGCTAGACTTCCACCTCCAGAAGCAGTTGATTCACCATCACTGGGACCTACCCCAGAACATCCAGCAGTCCACCCAGCTGCTTCTTTCCTCAACTGACCAACAGGCTTTGTCCTGGCACAGCACAGCCCTTGCTACTTCAAGCGTTCGCCAGCCTGTGGCTCTTGAGGCCAACAGGGCTGGTAATGAGTTATCAACCATCATGTCCCCACACTTGTTCGCCCAAGCCAAGGCAATATTGCAGAGCCATATGGATTCCAAATGTGGAGAGATCAACCATGGCAAGCTCCCTGCCTGTGTATATAGGTCCTGGGACTGCAGAACTACTGGGGAACTGGCAGTGGCTCCCCTCCCCTGCATTCCAGAAAGCCAGCCCATGGTGCTGCAGGCAACTAGTGACCCTGACCTGCATCACAAAGTTATGCCCTGGATGCCAACGGCCCTCAATCAGCAGCAACAGGCTTTACCAGGTCCTATCAGTAGACACCCGAGGCTGCCCCAAGCCCTCTCTGAGGGAGCCATCGAGAAACTGGAGACAACTTTACGGCACAAGTACCTGGCCTTCCTGTCCGGGCTGCCTGCTCTTTATTACGTGGCTCTCTCCAGGGCCATGGCCCCAGCAGTCACTAGCAAATCCATAATCACAGAGCGGGTGCCTGGGCCTACCAAAATCCCAGAAGAGCCTGTGACTCAGATAATCTCGTCTGAAGAACAGTATGTAAGTCTCGGGCCAAGCTTTCAAAACAACAGTGAGACTGGTGCAGACACCGCAGAAGAGTCCAAGCCTGCAGTACCAGTGGAAGGAACAATGGAGATGCTGCCTCTAGAAAGTCAGACACATCCTGCTATCCTCCACTCACACAAGACACATATGTTGGCCAAACTACGTTTCCACCTGAGAAAAAAGACCCTAGAGATACAATGGGGAATTCCCATCAGGGCACAGGAGTCCAGGGAACAAACTGCAGCAGTCCTAGAGAACAAATCCACACAGGAGTCTCTTGGGAGTCTAAACAACCAAGGAGAAACATTGCTCCAAGAACTTTCTACACCCCCAGATCCAGAATGGGTTCACCATAAAGAACAGCAGATTGCTGAGTTAAAGGCAGTGCAGCAGAATCAAAAGCAACCTAGTTCCAAAGCAGTGTCACATGGTTCTGCCCACTGTATCTGCAAAACCTCACAACCCAGTGGGGACATGACAGAGGCCCAGGTGCTTTGTGTTCATGTGGAGGCCAGTGTGAACACCACCAGCCTGGAGGAATCCTGGAGCTCTGAGCCCCAAAGCCCTGGCAAGACCAAGGACCCAGGTAAGGTTCCCACGCTTGCAGAAAAGAGGGAAGACCCAGAGAAACCCAAAGCAGCTGGGGACTGTGGAGAAGGGGATGCAGGTTTTGGGCTCTCCTCAACCACAGAAAAAAGACACCCAGGTGAAAACCAGAGACCAGCAGGGATGCCGCTGAACAAGACACCCCATGGCTACTGGCAAAGGAGTCATAGCTTTCAGTTTGCTGATCCCTGTCAGCACAGCCCCCAACATCACCCTCAGCTTAAGCTTCCAGAGTTACCTCCAGGAGTCCCTGGGAGGAAAGAATCTGAGAATGACCTGCAAGACAGTCAAACCAAACTACATGCCACTCTCAAACCAGCAAGGATTCCTGAGAATGCCCAGCCTGTGGTGTCCCAGACTTCACAGGGTCAGGCTTTCCCAAGTCAAGTATTTAAGACTAAGCCTCTTCAGGGCCAAACTTTACAAGGTCAACTTTTGCATGGGCAGGTGATACCAGCCTGTACTCACAAACAGCCTGGTCTTCCAGAGGCTAACTTGAGAAGTAAAGCAAGATCCTTTCTGCAACGTATTAACCCCAAGGCAAAAGGCAAAGGGCATAATGACTGCATATTTCCTATAGCTGAGAAAGTGACCAAAACCAGAAAAGAAAATGTTGAAAAGAGCCCAGCTCCAGCCAAAAGTCCTATGGGGAGACCTAAGACAGAGAAGCCAACAAAGCACTCCATTGACCAGTCTTCCCCCACCAAGAAGCCAGTAGGCCAGGCCTCCTTCAATAATTCCCATTGCCCAGACAATAAGCTCCGGCTGCGCCCCAGACAATCTGGCTCTGCCTCAGTCCAGGGCCATCTTCACCACTGCCCTCGGCACTATCCTCGAGTAGACCGTGCCACTTAACAAAGGCACCCACCCTAAATCCCAACCCTTACCTACAGAGAAACATCGGTCTGCTCAAGGTGAACACCCAGAGCAATTAAAAAGAATCTGAAGGATCCCCAACCTCTGCGTCCTTTAAAAAGACAGCTGTTGTTATTTCCATAAATGTGCAGGTGGGGCAGAGTGCCACCTGAAATACACTCCATATGTCTAAGCAAAGAGTTGTCTGTCTGTTCCTTGTCTTTGCTGAATTTATTTAGGGGAGGCATGAGGGAGCCTAAAAAGTCCATTGTCTAGGGAAGGAGTTTTAATTCACATTTCAGAGGGGTCACCACTTCACAGGACCCCTCCAAGCCACACTCTGGATGGTTGACAAAGGGATTTGTTCTAAGAAGTAAGGCCCTTATCTAAGGTGCACTGAAGTTAAGGGTGAGACTTGAATTCTGATCATTCACCATCCTCTCCTCAGGACTATTTTCCAATATCTCCTAACCCCAGAGCATAGGCCATTGTCTAAGACATAGCAATACCTTATATTTGTTGAACCCAAAGTCTGGGCTGGGGAAGCAGAAATGCTTTACATCATTGGGATGAGTGCTGTGAGCTGTGAAGTTGTGCCACAGGAGGAAATACTCAGCTGATGAGGAGGATCCCAGAGGTGTCACAATAAAATTACCTTGAAAAGCATCTTGCAATCAACAATTAAAATATGTGAGTACTTATTATGTGCTAACTACCATGCCAAACATAAGAAACAAGACACAGGACTTGCCCCAGTGGAGCTCATAATCTCATGGGATAGACAGTCTCATATGCTCAAATTGCCTAGTCAACATATACATTTGGATATCAAATATTCATCTCAAACTATACAAAAATGAACTCCAAATTCCACGTCCACCCACCACCACCACTCAATCACATGTACCAAACTTTTTTCAATCATGATATTTCTCACATCAGCTAATTGTAACACCATCTTTCCAGTAATTCAGGACAAAAACAAGAGTGTCATTCTTGAATTTTTTTCCTAACAATTCACATCTGACCCATCAGTAAATCCGGTTGTCTCTGTTTTCAAAATGCACCTGAAACATGACCACTTCTTACCCTCTGTACTGCTATCACTACTGCAATAGCATAACTAATCTCCCCATTTCATCCTGACACCACACACCCAACAATTTATCATTAACACAGAAGCCTGATGGTCCTCATGGAGGATTCTAGCTGCAGATAATGTGTAGATAGAAAGAAAGATAAAGAAAGAAACAAGCAAACAAAGAAAGAAAAGAAGGAAGGGAAGAAAGGAAGGAAGGAAGGGAAGGAAAGGAAGGAAGGAAGGAAGGGAGAGAGCCAGGTATGGTGGCTCACACCTGTAATCCTAGGCAAGAGGCCAAGGCAGAAGGATTGCCTGAGCCCAGGAGTTCAAGACCTGCCTGGGCAACATAGCAAGATCTTGCCTCTACAAAAAATTAAATAAATTAGCTGGGTGTGGTGGTGCTCGCCTATAGTTTCAGCTCTCAGGAGGCTGAGGTGCAAGGATCATCTGAGCCCAAGGATCATCTGAGCTGTGAGCCATGATTGCGCCACTGCACTCCAGCAGTGCAGACCTTGATTCACAAAAAAGAAAGGGCGGGCATCTCTTGGGAAAAGGCAGCAGAGATCACCTGCCTCTTGGCACCTGGCACCTGGCACCTGGCCCACACCACCACCTGCAGCAACAGGCCAGGCACTGGCAACCAGGACCATGAAGAAAGGGGAGGGAATCTGGAGCTGAGCCCCACTGGAGAAGACTCAGATATATGCCATTTTCTCTGTCCCAGGATGGGGCAGAGACCTGCCTTAGCTCACCAAATTCTGAGCAGCCTGCACCCTGAGACGAGGGGAAATTTCCGCACTCCTCTGGGATCGACCATCACTGACCCAGAAAGGATTCTTCAAGTACATGATACTGGACAGACAGACGCCCCACCCTCACACTAGACCAAACACAGATGCCTGCAATGGAGAGACTTGAGAATTGGATCCTGAGACACTTTAATGTTAAAAAATTGAAAAGCAAGGGAGGAAGCAGTAAGCAGAGGAAACTGAAAAACAGTAGTCAGTAAGGTAAAAGGAAACCACAAGAGTATAGAACACTGGAAGCCAAAAAAGGAAAGTTTTTCAAGAAGAGAGTGATCACCTGCATGAAAAGTTTCCAATCGGTCAAGTAAGATGAGGAGCATTAGATTTAGCAACATAGACATGTCCTTGGAAAAAAACAGTCTCAGGCGAGTGATGGAGATAAAGGAATGACTGGAGTGGATTCAAGAGACAATGGAGGTCGTTCTCGGTGGCTCAGCCTGTAATCCCACGCCTTGGGAGGCCTAGGTGAGTGGATTGCCTGAGCCCGTGGGTTCGAGATCCACCTGGGCAACTTGATGAGACCTCATCTCTACAATAAATCAAAAAAATTAGCCGGGCGTGGTAGCGCGCACCTATAGTTCCAGCTACTTGGAAGGCTGAGGCGGAAGGGTCGCCGGAGCCCAGCAGGCTGAGGTGGCGGGGAGTGGCCACTGCACTCCGGTCTGGGTGACAGAGTGAGACTCCAACTCAAAAAAAAAAAAAAGAGAGACAATGGAGATAAGACAATTGGTGATAGTAAGAATGATGTAAACTCCTCAAGGAAGTTTGTTCAAATAAAGATGCAGAAATATGCGGCAATAACACTAAGAGCATTTTTTTAAAAACAAGATTGGAGATACAGCATGCTGGATGTTGATGGAAGAGATCCAGTTGAGATAGATAGATAAAGTAATGATGCAGGAGTGCAAGAGAACGACTTGTGGTGCAGAAGTGAAAAAATGGGAGCAAGTCCCCAAGGTGATGAGCTGGCTTTTGCTAAAAGCACAAAACCACACTAGTGGTAGATGGAAGGTAGTGTTAATGAGAAATGCTTTTGTAGACTAAAAACAGACAGGCTTCCTCCACATAAAGAGAGTGTGAGCAAAGACTCAGAGGGAGCAATGAGGAATTGGTAAAGGCCTATCTGAGAAGGGGGGTGATATACCAAAAGAACCAAAGCCAGACAGCTGGAAGTGGAGAGGGATGCTGAAAGTTATCATGGCAAGCTTCCATTAGGGCCCAGGCAGTTGGAGGCAGTGTGAGAACTCAAGGCACAGAAAAGGTGGCTGAAGTTGTTGATGCTATGTGTGTGGCAGGTGCTCTTGGAACACTGAACAGCACGAGAGAGCATAGAGAAAGCTGTAAGTGCATGGAGCCTGAGCAAAAGCATGGGGCCAGAGATGGAGAAAACAGGCAGAGGTAGCATCCTAGTGCTCAGCAAGAGACCAGGGAGGTGGGTGAAGAGGACTGGGAAGCGGGAACACAAAGAGGCTGCCCTGAGAAGATGGAATGGACCTACATCTTGAACAACAATTATTCCTCAAAGGGTGCACCTTTGCATTTCCCTTCTGACCAACCTTAGAAGAGTCAGGAGCTGGAGGAAGGGCAGGAAGTGCTGTGATTTCTTTAGGACATGTCAAGAGGGCAGTGGAATGCCCCCTGGTTCCTAAAGAAACCCAGGGTCACTCTCCATCCTATCAATCCAAGAGGAGGTGGCGGCAGGACTTGCTTCCTCTGATAAGACCCCGGAATTTAGCATAATGTGTCCACGGCTTGGATACAAAAGAGCCAGGATGAGAAGAAGCACAGATGTGTCCCTCCACTGAATGATGATTCTGCACCTAACGGATGGGAGCCCAGGCCCTATGGCTCTCAGGGGGCAGAGGGTATAAGGCCCAGGCACGCTCAGACAACAATCAACAGGCGTGTTCCTAAAGCATCCCAAAAGATCAAAGAGGTCTTGTGACAGGTACATCCTCCCTCCCTGGTGGGAGCAGGGCAGAGAGCACCAGAGGAGTCTAGAGGGAGCCCCAGAATGAGGGGAATTGACTGAGAAGGGTCACAGCAGAATCACGTGGGAAGCTGGGGTTAGCGTGCACACATCCTGGTTTAGGGTGGAGCAGGTCTTTCCCATGGTTCTCCACAGGCTCCTACCTGCCTGAGGCCAGCATGAGCTCATGCTGCTGACCATGACAAAGGACTGCAGCAGAGAGATGAGCTGGAGTTGAATTCTTCAGCAAAGCCAAGAGCTGAGAGAAGTTGGGGTCAGAAACCATGATTAATGCAGGATGCTGATGTGGATGAAACTTTTCTTATCCTGTCCCATAACCCTAGAACAGTCCCACTCTCTGTCTCCACCCAGCCCAAGAGAGAGACAAGAAACAAAAGTATCAAGGGCATAAAATCAATAATTTACCACTCCAGAACTGGGGTAGATGCTAGGAACACATCAGTGCTTGCTTGGGATCTTTGGGTGCACCTGTGATATTTGAGGTAAGATCATGTCATGGTAAATGGCCATGACCTTCTACAGCTCTTCCCATGGATGCCCCAGAAGAGTACTTCAGAACTGCCTGGGGGAATTTCAGGCAATTGATCCCCCAGCCCTAGAAGGAAAGTGATTTCTCCACAGCATAACTTCTGTTGAACACTGAGTCTTGGCTGCTTCCCTTTTGTACCTACTCACTGTAACCCAGGCAGGGAGGGTAAGGAATGCAAGATGAGCACAGGAATAAGCTCCTTGAAGATGCTGTGCCCTGCCCTATGTGGGAGGTGGTTGGGACTCTGCTTTACCAGCCAACCAAGACCGAATGCTCCCATGGGACCTGCCAGGCCATCATAGAAGGAAGAACCAGAATGGCTGCTGTGTCCACTGCAGGGAATGGAAAGAAGGAAGGACAACCTTGAGCTCCAGTGGGGATATGAGAAATAAGCACTATGCAGGTATGCCAGGTACTAGGGGACACAGAAGACCAGATCCCTAACAGGTCTGACAGGCCTGCAGAGGTCTGTCCATTCTCATGCCCAGAGACAGTGAGGCCAGGACCCTGTGAGAGCATGGAGAGAACGAGGGGGGTCTGAGAAGGGGCCAGAGACAGATTCTGTTTCCAGAAGGAGGGGTTGTGCTGCCAACTGCCCCCTTTCCTGCCATGGCCCTCTCCTGCA